TTTTCCAGCCCTGCATATGAATTGTGTGAGGTCTCAAGCCTCCTGAATGGGCTTGTGGTAAAAGGGTCCACAGAGAAAAATCTTGGCAGAAACTGACCCTAAAGTATGATTCAATATTTGAAATGATGACATGGATCAAGCATTTTCATTCAAGGCAATACAACACATTTGTTAAATGATGAAACAAAGAGTTACGTTTTGGGTTTCTCCAGATATTCCTATTTATTTCATTTTATTTCAATGGGAACAAATGGAGGAAAATTACACTTTCAGAAAATGAAATGGGAAGAGATGGGGGAGGGGGCTCAGATTAATGTTTTCCCCTCTCCCTGGTCCCTCAGAATCTCAGAAAGACCATGCAGCTTTACGATAACCCAAAGACATTTCTAATAGCTAGGCACTCCTAGCTAGGCTAGATCTTGATCAATAACTCTATTTTAGGCTAAAAATAGAAGCCCCGGGGGCTCAAATAAGTGGTGCTCATTATGTCCTCAAATCCTTCTTATATTCAGATCGGAATCTGTGTGGGGGGAGGGCTGGAGATCCCCTCCTGTCCTAATCTCAAGCAGACCAAAAGGACTATCATGTTCCCACCAACCGATCTTTAAACCTGATTCCTTGGAAAAGCTTGTGTGCTACAAAGATTCGTGCCAAGCAACAGAGAGGATGGAGAGACCTCCTTCTCTCCTTTTTATTCTGTCCTGGATTGCCACTCAATAGCATTGCTGCTCTTGGTGTTGTAAGGGGAAGGTGTAGAGACAATAGACCTTCCTTCCCACCCCTTGCTTTCAAGGCATTGTTGCCACAACATCCACACCCCACGGTTAGCACTGAACTTGTAAGTGGGTGGGGAAACAGGAGGGAGGGGTTGGGGGACAGGAGTGAGGAGATGGGGAGCTCGATGTGGGAGCAGACCCAGGCTGAATCTCAAATTCAAGCCACCTGGAAATTAGCCAAATTGCTGGCCAGTTTGGAATGAGACAGAGAGCCTGGTGTAGGGGTTAAAGGCACTGGACTAGAAGCCAGGTGACTGGGGATTCTAGTCCTGCTTAGGCAGGAAGTGGGTGACCCTGGGACAGTCACCCTCTCTCATCCCCAGGAAGGAGGAGGCCAGGGCAAACCACTGTTGAAAAACTTGCCAAGGAAACTGCATGGACCAGTCCTTGTAGTTGCCAGGAGTCAAGAGCAACTTGAAGACGTGCAACTGTAGTGTGATCTAGTTTAGTATAGACTGAGCAAAGACCTACCAAGGCAAATGCCAGTTGTGAGGTGAAGGACTCTCCACATGCTGACCTGCTTCTAAGGCAGTGTTGTCCAAACTTGGCCACTTTAAGATGAGTGGACTTCCACCCCCCCAAATTCCCCCCCCCGCCCAGCCTGGGGGGGAGTTTTGTGGTGGAAAAGTCACACCTTTCAAATAGGGCCAATTTTACAACAACACCCC